GCGCTGGCCGCCGAGCTAGCAGCCATGACAGACCCGATGGAACGAAGAGAGAGGGAGGAAGAACAAAAGTTAGCATGGAAGCTGAGGATGAAGAGAGAGATGAAGAAGACGAGAGAGGAAGTGAACAAGATGACCGCAGAGGTGGCAAAGGTGCAGGAGTGTAGAGCGGAGGTGCTGGTCCAACCAGACGATAAGGCCAAGTGGGACAAAGTACTGGGGTATCTAGAGGTGTTGAGCAAGGCCTGGATGGAGGAGCGCCAGGCAAACTGGAGCCAGGATGTAGCGTTGAGTGCCATGCGGTCAGGGTTTAGAGATTTTGCGCGCGAGTTCGTCACCCATATTGGGGGCGAAGTGAAGCAATTGAGAGATAATGTAGGAAAGTTTTGTGAGGGCGCCATTCAGGGTGCCAAAGCTGTAGCCGCTGTAGAGGGAGAGGCCAGACCCCGTAAGGACCCAGTGAAACTCAAGTTCCCAGATGCGTACAGGGGGAAGAAGGAAGAGAACTTTGACAACTGGGTAGCCAGTGTCAACAGTTATATTTACTTGCAACATATCCTAACAGAGGAGCAAGTCCTCGTGGCCTTCCAGGCTCTGAAGGACGAAGCGGCTAGCTTCGCCAGGTCACTCGCGCGTACAGCCGGTTGTGAAAACAACCTGGTTGCATATTCCAAAGTCACTCCTCTTTCCCAATTCCTCAAGCTCCTCAAGGAGTGGTTCGTTGACCCAACGCGAGGCATTAGAGCCTCTGATAAGCTCCAAACGATCCACTCGCGGCAGTGGAGGAGTGCAAAGGCACTCAAGGGTACTATGGACGACGTGGTAGCCGTCCCGGACCACGGGGTCACTGAACCCCAGTTCGTCCAGTTGTTTTATCGTGCCATTCCAGAAGCCCTACGCAGGCATTTCTTTGACAAATCTCAGCAAGCCGGCATGACTTACGATGTATTGAGTAGAGAAGTCGTCCTGTATGAGTCGAAGTCTATGCCAGTTACCACTTTCTGGCATAAGGACCTGGAGAAGGGGAAGAAGTGGAAAGATCGTACCATCTCGGGCCAAGTCAAGGCCAAAGATCACTTGATCCTGACATTAGATGAGGGTGGTACAGAAGAGGTCCAATATGATCAGATTGAGTGGGGCCTAGGGGAGGAGTATAGTTGTGTAGGGAAGGGGAGGTCTTACGCTGCTGTCGCGGCCGGAGGGAGGCCGCAAGGTAGAGGAGAAGGCCAGGGCCAAAGGGGCCAGGCCATAGGAGGCCGAGGACCGGGCGCACAGAGGGTTGGCGGACAGGGAAACCGCCAAGCGGGAGGTAGGGGTCAAGGTCCCCCGTTAAATCGCCAGGGTAACCGGTCCCCACAACGAGGAGGTGGAAGGGCGCCTCAAGGAGGATGGCACCCAGGCTTGCCGCAGGGCAGGCCCTGGGAAGATCTGGGCTTGGACCAGCGCTTATGGCAGGAACGC